TCGCTGTCATTTTCATGAATGGACACTTTCTTGTATCTGAGGTAGGAAACATAGCCTTATATGGTGTTTTTGGGGTGGTAATTATGCTAATCTTCTCTCCTCGTGTACGAGCAGCTGGATAGAACAGGTGTAATTTACGCAGCTCATTTACACACTTTTCCTGAAGATAGAAGAGTTTGTTGAATCTGACGTGACATGTTCATACGAACCCTTCGTACGAACAAAAGTAAGAGAAATTTAGGATAAGAATACGAACATGTTCTTGCATGAGGCCCAGTGTTTATAATTCACTCCGACAACACTGCATTTTCCACAAGAAGAGAGTGCAAATTTAGATAAAATTGCTTGAATTTCATTGAAACTAGACTGTTTTTTACACTTTACTAAATTAAGTGGCATTATACCAGTGTTAGTGTTGTCACAAATGGAACAAAATGTTTAAAGTCCATTAAGATTGCATTTAAAGTTAATGTATTAAGCTAAGTTTTCTGTAAAGAAGTTTTTCAAGAAATAGCAAATGTCTTCTCAAGATGAAGCAATTCTTTAGTAAGACAAGGCTCTCTGAGACTAAACCTGATAAAAAATTAAAAATCATTGCCAGGAGGAACATGTTTTTTTATACAAATGCTATATTCTAGCTGAGTAAACATTAAAAAGGAAAGATGTGTGATATATTTTTTGTGCTAGTTGTCTTTTGTCTAAACACCAGTTTGTATTTGTCTTTCTGTTGTTGTTTTGGTCACAGCCTAAATTCATTTCAAAAGTTCAGTTGATGTTGCTCTTTGTTCCATTCTCAATAGGGATTTGGGAACCAAAGTGCTAAAATGCCCTTCATCAAAACATGTCTGCAAAAGTACCCATTTGTACTGTAATATTTGATCTCTGTTGTGAGTGTTCTGTTTAATTCTTTATAACTCCCATTTCATAAACTGTAATTCCGTCAACTTTGCTAAAAGCTCCCTTTATTTAATTTCATTTCCTTGCACGCCCTTGGGTGAAGCGCTGTTATCTAACACAGCCAAGCTGTTTAATCATCTCACTTTGTTTTCGACTTTGAATCGCAGACTAAGCTACTGACCCTTCACGCTCCAAGGGCACTAGAACACTTCAATGCTGCAAAGCGTAACAGTTTTTTTTTTTAGGGACAAAAGTTTTTGAAAGAAAAATGAATGGATTGCCTCACATTGAAAGCAAAATGACTCAGATTAAAAATGGATTGGTCTTCCAGCACCAAACCTTTATCTGTCTATCACACAGTGAGGTAAAGTGTAGTAGGTACTGTGTTTTAAATGATGAGGCTGAAAGCACAATTGAGGTTATTCAAAACACTTTGAGTAACCAAAGTAAACAGAAACTCCCACAAATGTCCGAGTTTCTAGGAATAAATTACATTTTGAATATGATAAAAAGGTAAACTAAAACTTGCAAAACACAAATAGATAACCACACATATCTGTTATCAGTTTAGGTAATTCAATGTTGTAATGACAATGTTAATAGCAACTAAATGACAATTGTATGAACCTGCAGTTTTAAGGTAGGATGTTCCTGGGCTGCAAAAGGCTCAAAATCATGGTTAAATTGTGAGAAAAAACTTTTTTTAGCTCAGTCTTAGTGTTTGCAATCAAATAAGCAATATGTCTGCATTATAAAAATGGCCAGTTGTGGAAAATCGTGGATATATATTTTTTTGTGGCATGGCTTACAAAAACTGCACTTTTGTCCATGTAAGTTATTTAATTTTCCCACCTCCGCCCACATTATACCCACCTTGGCTCACTTTGCTCCCACCTTGGCAGCCACCCCCACAGTTAAGACTCCATCTGCTGGAGTCCATTTTTGGAACGAAGAGTCAGATTCGGAGCAGTTTTTAAATAGATATTGTTCATCAGAAGCATGGTTAGACATGGACTTGGGTCTTGGTTGTTTTCTGTCAGAAGAGAGCTTTGACACGCGTGTCAACATGGAGCTGTAGCACTCTTGAAGCAGATTTGAGACAGTGGGTTACAGATTACTCTAACACTTTACTTTATTTGTTTCATTTGTAACACAAATGAACAAAGTACAAAAAATATGCAATCACAATAAAATCAAATAAAATGAAAGGCAGCAGAAGAAGAATAAATCTTATAATCTCTGCCCCTTTTTACACCCAAAATACGCTCAAAAGAAAAGTAAAAAAACAACAAAAATCAAAACAACTTAAAACACTTAAAATGAACTAAAAACTAAATTTAAAACACCAAGTCAAACAACAGTTAGCATGAAATGACTTATACATCTCCATATTTCTTCAGACAACTAGTTTTAATATTTCTCTTCAATATATACAGTACAAGGATCTGGCATTTAACACCCCTCTCAGGCCAGTGGAAAACATCTTTTTTGCAAGCTACACAAACACAGATCTGACAACTCTCTACTGGGAAGGGAGTGAGCATAATGTGCATGTGAATTTAATTGCGTAAATGAAGCTGAGTTGAATATAAGTAGTGATTTTGTTTATCTATTTGTGCTTGTGTGTGTGTGGGGGGGTCATTCATTACCTGGATGACTGTGGATCTCCATCCGAGTTTTTTTTTATATAAAAAACAGGAAAAAAAGGATGCATTTGAATTTAATTTGTAGAAGTTTAAGGATTTAATAACGTCTGAATTCTGTTATTCTTTTGGCTGCTCTTTTCTAAAGGGGGCATCACAGCGAACAAGCTAGCTTAAAATGTTGACAGTATTTCTACTCCGGATGCACTTGATGCAACCTGAGCTCAAACTGCAGCCTCAGGATTGCAAAAACAAAGCACTGACACGGAGCTACTGCAGCCTCTTTCTGAGAAAAGAAAAATGAATCCAAAGAAAACAACTTACCTAAACACCAACATGTTACTATTTATTGATAAAACCAATGAACTACTTATTTTAAAGGGGAAAAACACCTGGATATGCAGTACATTCATTTCTACACCAGTAAGGCAGACGAATCGATATCATAGAGAATCCAACGTGATCCTGACAAATCTTCTGCCTGTATAAAACTCAGAAACTACTGTGCTTTTGAAGCAAAAAACAACAACAAAAAGAACAGAGTAAGGTCTCAGCTCAAGTTCAGGTGTTAGCTGAAATGTGTGGCTAAAACTATTTATACTGCAAGTTGATGCTTGCAGCACCTATAGTATCTTCTCTGCCTCTTCTATAACAAGATTTTTTTTTAATGATTCTCAGGCTGGAATCCCCAACTCGGACCCTGACCCTGGAGGCTCCCAGAGGGGTGGAAATCAGTGCTGGAGTGGGAGACTTCACAGCTTCTTGTAGGAAAGACCTCCTTTTGCAGTCCTCAGACGGAGAGGTCAGTGTGTGCTTATATTTTCCGTTTATTTCTGGATGGGTTCCTGTGCAGCTGCCTGAGTCGGTTTCAGTGATTGTTGTATGGCTTTAATGTGAGAAAGCCATGCAGAGGAGGAGAAACTGACAATAATAGCAACGTTGATGTTGAAAATTAAAAAAAAGTGAGGTGTTTGTGTTATTGAATGTGTGAGCTTTAGACATTGCAGCACTCTATTGTAGAGGGCCAGCTTCATTAAAGTACCTTATTAGGCTAATGAGCGTTATCAATCCAAGCGACCTTGTCCTCTTTTCCTCCCCTCCTCCTCTCATCACTACTTTCTTGCTCTCTTCAATTTAGGAGAAGTGACTTCATTAAAGCTGGTTTGATGAGGTTCCCTGTCAGTTGTTGCTGCCACCGTGTGTGTGTGTGTGTATGTGAGTTTGTGTGTCATTGTTAGCCTGTTATTTCACTGTCAAGCTCTCTGCGTACAACCTGCCACATTCGGTAAGCACCAAAGCAGACTTTGCCATTATCCTTGTGCGTGTTTGTAAGAGTCTGCATGTATGTGTGTGTCAGGCTGCCATATTGCTTGTCCGCTGGAGCATAGTGTGTCATTAACTTGGTAATTAACAGAAGAATGACCCCCCCTCCGCACCCACCCTCCTCCTCTAGTTCCACTTACTGTCATTGTCACTCACACACACGTTGGATTTTGTCACAAACACACTCCCACTGCCATGTATGCACTGCTGCAGTGAAACAAAATTAAACCATTAAATAACCCATCCATCCATCCATCCATCCATCCATCCATCCATCCATCCATCCACTCAATTCTTATATAAATTGTTAAAAATGTGATAAATTAAGTAAACCATTCTGTGGCAAGATACAAATATGTTTCTACTAAACACATGTATCTGCTACAGTTACACAACCATTCAAAAGTTATCTACCACTTATATAAGACTAAGGGCCAAGTGTGCACCATCTGAAACTAAATCATTGACTACCAGTCACGGGGTTGCGGTACACATCACAGTATGTTTTTTTTTTTTTTCCCTGTTGGAGACAACGGTACGATATTAGCTGTTCGGCCACTGATCTGCTACAAATAGAGCGCCACATTTTTCGGTGTGCAGAGTCCTCCGTGCACAATGTTTGTTGCCTTTCCATCAATTAGGTTTTGGCCATTTGACTACTTTTACAAGTGAGAGTCATATACTGTAGATGGACATACTTTCTTACAGCCTCTGACTCCTCAAAACTATCCACGATGTTTTGATGCACAACAGTCAGCTTCTGGAAGCAAAATGATTGAAGCAAAATGCTGCCCTTGTTGTCTGAGCACTTTTCAGAATAAACTAATACACTCACAAACTTCTGACCAATCACATAATAATTGTGTATGGTGAGAGTGGCAAAATGTTTGTCAGTGGCTTGTGACAAGGGGTGGGCAACACGAAGCTGAGAGCAAAATGATGCAATTTTTGTCACACAACTATGGCAACGAGAGCAGATGTAGAGGACTTAAGTTGTACGGGCAGACTGTATCTCCATACCTCACTCTTCACAAGAATCAAAATATATTGGTTCTGTTCTTGGTGGATTACAGGAAAGGGGTAGGGGGTAAAAGTACACTTTAAACACATTTCTGTCCACGCAATGTATTTCCCTATGTGATGACGTAACTCTTTCAAATCGAACCGCTCTTTTGAACGGCTCAATGAAACAACCGGTGAAAGATCCAGATCCTGTCAAAGAGCCATTTATCTTGTCCCTAATGAGGACAAAATGATCAGAGTATTTTCAACTTCTGATCTGGAATCAATTTATTCATATTTGTTCTGGGTCACATTCATGAAACCTGGTGCAACCTGCCAATGAGCAATTAAAAATGTGTTCATATCTAAGGGTGGTTAGGTTCAGGTAGGATATGTGTGCATTTGCATGAAGAGCATCTCTCTGTGGTAACCCAGCAAACATTTACTGCCAGGTTTGAACACTGATACTTGGGGCTAGATAGATAGAATTAACAATGGCACATTGTATTTGGTCTGAATGGGATCTTAATCACCTCAAAGATACTAGATTCTAGGCTTATTCCCAGTGGGAAGAAGATGCAAGGTACAGCATCCTTAGGTGGCCAGATCACCTCAATTGGTCCTTTTCTTTGTGGAAAAGCAGCAACTCTCACCTCCTTAAAAATGACCAAGTTTCTCATCATTTCAAAAAGCCTGAGCCCAGCCATACTTCAAAAGAGACTCATTTTGAAGTCACGTAACTCTCTTGCCAGTATACTCAGTCTGGTTTTGTGTGTTTTAAAATTAGGAGTTGTTGCTGCCTTATTTTTAACTAAGACACTTGAGAGGTTTTCCTTTCAGTTGTAATAATTAACTTTTTTCAGTATCAGTATAAGTATTTTTTTGTTAGAATGTTAGAGATTATTTCCAACAAGTCACTTTATTCAACTTCAGAAAATTCTGGTTCTCTTAGTGGCAATTTTCCTGATGAATTGTTTGATATGTTGGAGAATTATTATTTCAAAGCATGCTTCTTAAACAATAGGAATCATTGCTTTTCTCACTCATCTGACTCCCCAGCTTCCCTCCTTCAAAGTCCTCCTCTCTGCTCTTCACTCGGTTTTATAGTGTTTTTTTTCCACGTCTTCTCATCTTTTTCCTCCTTCGCTCCTTGTCAGCCTTTCAGTCCTTCATCTCTCTATTACCCAGCTTTATCTAATTAACTTTCCAGTGCCAGGGTTATATATCACTGTAGCTTTCACTTCACCACGAGTGGGGAGGGGGTTTTTAATTTTTACCCTTTTTTTTCCTGTCCTTTCTTCTTTTCATTCTTTTCTTTCTTTCTCTCCATTTTCACGCTCTTTGTCTCCCTGGTCTTTGTTCATCCATTAACTGAATTTGTTACCGTCTCTCCCTTTTTGTCATTGTATATAAATAGATGGTCCTTTATTGATGGTGAACATTAGCATGAAGCACAGTGTAACAAGGGTTGTGATGTAGACCTTTAGCAGGGCTTGATAGCATGAAAGGCTGGAGAAAATTAAGGAATCATGATGCATTGCTTCTCAACCTTTGTGCTCTTTATTTCTTATCAGACGGAAGCAGAAAAATGCCTTGGTTTTGCTTTGTATAACATATGACTTAATAAATCCTAATAGTAGGGGCATGATTGGGATAAGTGAATGCACAGAAGACTCAAAGTACACACACACACATATATATATAT